CAGAGATGTCCTTTCTGTGACACATCGTCACCGACAAGGGGTTGTAACTGGAGCCTCAGAAGATACATGTTGTAAGAGACGCCCTGGTTCCTACTTGCTTACGCAAGTTCACAACTTCCTAGGACTGGCCTCGTGCTACCGAAGGTTTATCAAGGGATTTGCCACAATCACGGGACCCCTTATGAACGTGCTGAAAAAAAATCAGTCGTTGATCTTGACTCCTCGATGTGATCAAGTGTTCCAAGAACTCATGGCGGCTCTGACTTCGGCCCCGATTCTTATGAGACTGGATCTGGAAAAGCCTTTCATTTTAATCATCGATCGGCAACCACAGGCGATTTGGACAATTATGGCCCAGGTAGGACCAGACAAATTAGAACACGTGATGGAATATGCTTCCAAGACAGTGCCGCATTGCAAGAGGAACTACTCTGCACCAATGGGGGAATGCTTCGCCGCTTTATAGGGAATCAGCCACTTCTGTATGGGCGAAAGTTTACGTTTGTCACGGATCACGAGCCACTCTCGGTCCTGAAGAAATCCACTGACTATTCGGGTATGATGGGACGATGGGCCACCACAATGCAAAGCATGGAATTTGACATTCGTCACAGGAAGCATGAGTGGCACGACAACGTTGACGGACTGACACAACTACACCGGCCTGGCAGAGTCCTTGCAAGTGAGGAGGTAATCTCATGCAACGACCCAGAAACGAAGGACAAACACAAGTATGAAGAAGTGGAGATCCTCCAAAAGGTTTGAGCCCCCGCTCGAAGCGATGGTTGCTCTTTCCTCTCCGTCTGACCTCCCTACTCTCGTTTAGCTTCCTGACCATTCCTTCTTTTCGGATCTCCCGATAAATTATGTTATTTTTGCACGTGCATTTCATGAGTCTACGAGGTAGATTTATATCCTCATGAGTCCAGGTTTGTCGATTAGATCGACTATGCCACGTGTGTTAATCATGTGCATGGCGCCTGTGTTCGATATTGAACAACCACCAAATCCAGGAAATGCCCTCTATGCCGAACGGATAAGCTACCCATGGAAGCTCGATTTGAGGCTGCTAGGACAAACGGACCAGGCTATGACGAGAAGTTCTAAAGGGCAGAGGTGTGGACGAACAAAATCCTACTGGCAAAGTTGGTTGGCAGATCGCTAGATGGCTACTCTAAGCAGGACAAGCGTCGAGCATCCATGAGATCTTGGGATTATCCATGGATCAATAACCATTTAGAAAAGCATAAAATAGACGGATCAGGCTTATGGTTGATGGTTCCGCACCCCTTCCAACAATACAATTGGACCCGGTCTGCTCATGAAGAGAAGGCCACTCATTTTAAGATACGTGTCACGGAAGGAACTATCGATCGGAATGGATGGTTTTAGTATAATATCGGCGAAGACGTTAGGCATACTATGGTCGGCAACTATCTAATCTGTGTTGTAGACTGTATGCCTATCTGAGGACCTAACACGATAGTTCCGACAGAAGTAGAACGCCCCTTCCAACGTGTTAGTATGAATACTACAGATATCGATGTGCCACCTGGCCCCAACCGATGCGAATACTCAATTTTATTAGTCTTAATTGATCACTTTTCATAATATATAGAGGTTTACTTGTGTAAGACCCACAAGGTTTCAGAAGTAGAGACATACATTAACCGATTCCTCAATACTCATCTTGATACAGGGGAAATGCTAACGGATAATGGATTTGAATTTTAGGCTGAGATAGAGGAATTGTTGACAGGTAGTGGCGTTATGCTCCAACGCACCGCACCGCATGTCTCTCAATCGAGCGGACTTGCGGAGAATACGAATCGCATGATTAAAACCGCTTTGCGTCGTAATCTGGCGGTTAATGATACGCGTCCCTAGCCCGAGATAGTTTATCAAATTGTGGAAATTCACCAGGCCACTCCTCATGAATCGGCGTTTTTTTTTCCCTTCCAGTTACGGACCAACAACATTCCCTGTATTATCAACGGAGACGCCTCGAAAATTGTCGAACCTAAGGGTAAGGACACGCGAATCGCCTTTAAGGCTAAGGCCAAGAGGTTTGTCGATTTAATGGACAAGGCGGTCCCTAAACCAGCCCGTAAGGGACAGAGGATGACAGAAATAACCCACGGATGACGGGTCCGCAACTACAAGGCCAGAAATGGGAATGCAGGCCCTTAACCACGGTATAAATTGGGAAACCTGGTCCAGCTAAGGAAATCTGCATGCGACCGGAAACCCACTCCCAAGTTCTCTGGTTTTTTCACGTAGTCGAGCTCGGGCCTAACGGAGTGGATACCGTGCGCATCGCTCCCGAAACAAGCGCCAACCATAGCTCCCTCCCTCTCGTCCGCCATATCTCCTACCTTCGTCCCCGTACCCCCTTAACTCCCTCGCTCATTCCTCTTCGTACCTCTCCTCTGCCGACAAGGATCTTGTCCTCCTCTCTTCCTCCTCATCCGATACCTTCTGTCCCCCGCCATTGCCATGAGTTTCTCGCTTAAACCTGCCCTCATCGCCCAACTTCTTCAACCTCGGCCCACCTTGCAGTTTCGCCAAGTGAATCATCCATGACTCAGTCTTGATCTATTGCAGTTTGCACAATTACAGCCATAATGCCAAGTGCGCAGCCGTGAAGGTAACTATCTTCACATATCGCGGTTCAGCGGTGGTCCTGGGTGAAGCCTCGACGTTTCTTGTTTTTTTCGCAGTCAGGTCAGAGCAACGTGACGGTGATCGTTGTGCTTAGCGGTGATCTGTGTAACGTCGGTTCCCAACGGCGTGGTGACGTGGTCTCAAGTCTGTACGAGTGGGGGAGAGAACAAGTGGTGGATTGGCAGTAACAATTGGCTAGGCTGAGAGATCAACTGGCTAGGTCGAGCCTACACGTGCGCGCACGGGACCTATCATTCAAATTAGATGGGTGAAAGTCAGTTGTTCACGAGGTGGATCATCCTATAGTGAGACGGACATCTAATCGTCTAGCATGCATATCTAATTTATACACAGACAGAATCGCACCTAGCATCCATGCATCTAGCTTACATACAACAGGAGGAATTGAGGATCTTTATGCAACAATTTTTTCGTCAATCAGCCCCGAGATCGCACAAGGCTCGATTGCCGGTAACCAATCAATTAGATTTGTCGATTCAAAAAGACAGAGAAGAGGAGTGGGGGAAGACCACCACACATCAATCTCTGGGAGAAAACAAAGGAAACAAAAAAAAATATGAGATGCCGATCCAAAGAGGATAAGGGCGACTTGCGCTGTAATCAACATTGTTGGGAAGAATAAAAGAATAACCAAAATTACTTCGGTGGAGTAGAAAAAGAACCTCACCTCTCTCTCTCTCTCTCTCTCTCTCTCTCTCTCTCTCTCTCTCTCTCTCTCTCTCTCTCTCTCTCTCTCTCTCTCTCTCTTCACAACATCCGATGCGGGCAGTCCGTCGCCGCGCACCCCTCAGAGTTGTCACCCCGCTTGATCCGAGCATGCAAGCCAGGTTCGCCCGTGTGCCGCAGTCCGTCGTGGCCCCACGTCAACCCCGCATGCCCAACACCAGCTCGTCAGATTGCCCAACTCTCTACTCACCTTCCAACTCTTGCTCGTTAGCCGATCCGCCCGACCACGCTAACTCCCAAAATTCTAAGATAGTGAGTTAATCGTGTTTGGGAAACTTATAGCATGCATGCTTACGCGAGATACCCGGGGTCGTGTCTGAGAGGAAAAGAAGGAGGAGGAAGGAAGTGCCTACGTCTGCATGGTCGGGTCGCGGCGTGGGTGACGTGGCGTCACTCCACACATTGATCCGGTCATGCAAGCGTTCAGGCCGATGAGACAGAGGAAGAACTACGCGCGTACATGGACGCTATAAAAGATATAAAGAACGAGAGGATTATAGTTGCAATTATGCCCGCCAAAATAAAAAATACAGTTACACACAAGGATTAAGGCGCAGAAAAGTCAGAACACAGATCCTGACACGGCAAGGCGTGCGCAAGCAAGAAGCGTCGTGCAGCAGGAATTGAGATGTGCCTAAATCCTGATCTGAATCCTAATTGCAAAAAGAAATTTCAAACGAAGTAAATTCCGAGAGCCCATGGGGGCTCGACATCAGTTGAAAATTCAAAAAGAGTTTCCCACGCGACGATGGCGCCAAAAACTCCCATTTCCCACAGCAGAACAAGAAAGAAGCTATGGAAACAGTTATCTTTCGCGCTCACTAAGTCGCGATCAGCTACCAACCGTCATAAGATTACCCCGGCCTCAATTACAAAAAACAAGAAAAGCAAGAGCACCCATGTAGTCCAGTGGGCCCTCCTGATTCAATCCCCAAAGTAGCCTTGCACATAGGATCGAGCGGTTGCAGAAAACAGTTTGTCACATATGTGACGCCCAGGGGGTTCCAATCTTGAGCAAGCTCTTGCTTGCTTACCCAATCATCCGCCGATCTCGTGACAAAACACCAGCGATCGACGTGGAGCCCACACATGCCACTTACCATGAGATGAGAGTGTGGAAGTGATCCACGTGGCACCTGCGAACTCCGATCCTAGAGATTGTCGGGGAAGGGTAGTCTTATGACAGGCGGGGGAGGAGGAGGGTGAACTTGCGGGAAGGGTGACAGAAAGCCATGGAGCTGCCGATCTCCAGTAGGGAGTCGGGTGTAGTGGACAGTACGATGGATGCGAGGGAAATGATGATCATGATGCGGGAGCGAAGCGAGGTAATCAGGATAGAGGGTACAGAGGGTGCGGGGAATCACGGCGTGGAAATTCTCATATTCTTCGCACGCGGGGATGGTACCTGGGATTATGCAATAAACCTCTATATTATTATATTCCTGCCATGTCGCGCTAAAGAAAAGCATGTGGAGGGAAAAAGAAGTTACGAGAGAGCGAGTGGTGGCGTGCGGAAAAATGGTGGCGATAAGGCGGGTAGAGTAGAATTGGTGGAAGAGGGAGGGTGGGAAAGGATGCCAGCTAGAGGGGAATGGGGGCGGCCCACGAGTTGATGGAGGGTGAGGTAGTTAAGTGGATGGCGGGATAACGACCAGGGACGAAGCGCGAGTGTCCTCATCTCCATGTATGTGAACGGTAGGCCGTGGTGGTGGAGAGGATTGAGCCGGCGAATAACTTTTTCTACAGCGTCTGCTTCTGGATCCCTCCGGGGTGGTGACACCATCTCCTCCTAGCTCCTCCTGTGGTGGCTCTGGATTGCGCGTCGGATCGCCTTGTAATAGTCGTGCCGCTGGTCCGTCCGACTTTTCCACCGACCTCTTTCCTTGCGCCTTTTTCCGCCTCTTCTGTGTTGCGGCTACGTCTTCCTCCTCTGTCCGCTCGCTGGGGCTGCCGGATCCACCTGACTCACTCCTTCCCCACTCGCTCTCCTCCGACTCGTGGTAATCGGGGTCGTCAGATTCCGCCCCCGAGTTTTCTTTTTCTTCTTCTTCGCTCGCCTCTTCCCTTTCTTCCTCCTCTTCGCCTACCTCTTCTTCTGCTTCCACCCTTCGTGTTTTTGGATCCCACAAAGTGAGATCGATCACGTCAATGACGAGATAATGGCTCGAGGAGGGGTAGTAGCAGTTGTCACCGTCGAGCTCCGTACATGTGGACCACAATAGATGCGGTACCAACGTACGGGTGAGCGCCACCGGCGTAGGCCGCTCGTCACAGCGCGAAGGGATATCCAGAGGCAGATCTTCCAGGAGCTGTGCCAGGAATACCAAGACTTCGCTCATGATTGGCTCCAGGTGGTTGTCCTTCACTTTTCCGAACAAAATCCCCAACAGCTCCCCTTCCGTGTCCGTTCTCTGCACTTGGATTATCAACAGTTTCACGTCATCATCGGGAACTTTGTCTTTTTTATCCTTGTTGGTCGGCTCCGCCCAATGGAACACCACCTCGAGGAGACAGAAGCTAAGCGCAACGTACTTGTTCCACCACTTTGCCCACCTGTCGTGGTCAAGGATGGGCACGTCCAACTACCTGATCCGAAAAGAGAGAGGGACGTCCGTAGCGGACTGCCAGAAGGTTGGGAGATCAGAGGGAAGCCCGGAAGTCGAGAGGCGGTGCCGGTTCATTGACGAGGCGTAAAGGGAAGAAGCTTCAGGAGGATGATCTCCGGCGTAGTGAGAGAGAGTCTGAGCTGGCTGAGGTCGATGTCGTTGGTGGAGTCGATCTGGTCGCCTGGCCGAGCTAACAGTTGGACCTACGCATCCGTGAAGTCCCGCACCCAGAGTCGTAGTTGTCAGAGGGCGCCGGTATGAGCTCACGGATGCAACGCTGTAAGATCGCAGGTGAAGACGACGATCACTGTCACGTGGCTAACACCTGGTAGAGACAGTCACAGAAAAGCAGACACCTTAGCCAACACCCTCGTTCGATCACTGGTCTGTGGAAACCGAAATTCCGCCACTGCGTGGATGGCCATCGTACTGAACAAAGCCGCGAAACGGAGCAGATCAGGGCTCAATCGTGGTTGTTGTACTTGCCGAATCGACGAAATATGCCCCCCAGGTCTCATTAGACACTCGCTAATGACCTGATCGGTAGAAAATCTCATGGCGATGGGGGAGAAGGTAAAGACAAAGGTTGAGAGGAAGGAGAATCAGAGTATTCGAGTTCGAGATCGTCGCCTTCTTCTTCAGAATCGAAAGACGACGTGGATGAGGGGAGAGACAGAGGAGGAGGTAAAGGACGAAGATAGGACACGTGTCGAATGATCGGTCGACCCGATCGGCTTCCCGAGACCTCCGGCGCAAGCCGCACTGTGTTTACTCCGCTGGGACTGAGCTCGACTACGTGGAATCGCCCAAAGAATCGTGGCGCTAACTTGCCCTGGCGAGCACATTTCGTTACCTGCACTGTGTCCCCTAATTTATACTAGGGTCGAGGCCCACCGTTCCCATTTCAGGCCTCATAGCTCCGGACCTGTTGTTCGTGCGCCATTTCGATCATCCACTGTCTTTTTCGGGCTAACCGGAGGAGGGGGGTTTCCATTAGTTCCAAGTGGCATTGAGCCTTGTCCTTGACTGTCGCCCTCGTGGCTCATCGTCCAAGAGTCATCTCATCGTTCAGGCTCAGTACAGCTACGCAGACCAGACTATTGGTTCGTAACTGAAAAGGGGTCAGGTTGGTGGATTCATGGGGTGTCCCTCAATAGATAGCTAAGATATGGTCTACGATATCAGGCCAAGGCCTCATGTCTCTAACCACGATATTTCGTCGCAAAGCTGTCTTAATTACTCGGTTCGCATTTTCTACTAATCCGTTCGACTGTGACATGTGGGGAGCCGTATTGCAAATAGAGATGCCATGTACAACTAGGCTCCTCAAGATTTCTCCTCATAATTCTGCCCCGTTGTCCGTTACGATTTTTCCTCGGTATCTTGATGCATTCGGAGAAAACGGTTGACATACCGCACAATTTCCGCCGTTTGTCACGTTTTGCAAGGATAGGCCTCGATCCATTTCGAGAAGTGATCCACGAATACCAGAAGAACTGAGTATTCGCAGCTATTCCGTCCAGGGGGCACGACAATATTTGTTATGTCCATGCTAACCCTTTGGAACGACCATTCGACTACGGTAGGCACTATCGACCTAGACAGCTGAACAGGCGCTTTGTCTGCCGTGTAGACCGGACAATTTTTAACGACGAATTTAACATCGTCTCGAATATTGGACCAATACCATTCGTTTTTGTCAATTGTTGACTCCGTGATCCTGACAGCAAAGTGAGCGGCGGTTTCTTCGTGGGCCGACTTAACCCAGTCGTACCTCGTGAACGGATGAGGCACCGACATTCAAATCCCACTACCATCAATCTTTCGTTTCTCTAACCGTCCGATATTCCATCAGTACTCCCGTGCCCTCTCATTAGTTCGCCTTCGATCTTCCTTGGTGAACTTTCGGAGGGAGTTTCCGACCATCGTGGCTATCAAAACGACATATGTCCATACTTCCGCCTGTCGAAATTTGCGTGTATTTTCCAACCCTTCGAACGTGGCTTCGAGGAATCGAGCTTCCGTCGGGATTTTATCGGCTCGACACAAGGGACATAAGCAGGCTTTATTCACGTTCCTGTATTGGATACAGGAGTCGTGGGCCCGAGAGACACACCATTCACAGTCTACCCACTCGATATATCCTTCGTCACTAGGATGCATAGGAACCGATATTGCTTCGCAAAAATAACAAAATTTGTTAGGCAAGGAAAGAAGAGAAAAAGATGAGAGGGGAGAAAAGGGGCCTATAGGGTTGTCTTCTCCACTCATCGTCATTGTGTCCACGTGTCACTTCCGGGCGGTTCGAGGGAGAATGGCCACTTCTCCGTACGGGATCCCTTGGCTGGCTCCGACTCATTCCACCAAGTGATCTCTTCACCTTTGGCCACCTTGCTTGGCCGATGCAGTCGTGTCAATCCGTCGGCGTTCCCGTGTTTTTCCGTCTTCCGATGGATAATGTCGAAGTCGTATTCTTGTAGCCGGACAACCCAGCGCCCAATCATGCCCATATAGTTAGTGAGCCTCTTGAGGGCCAACAGGGGTTCGTGATCCGTGGCGAGGAGGAACTTTTGTCCGTACAGATACGGATAGAAGTGTTGAATTCCCCAAACAACCGCGTAGCACTCGCCTTGAGGAGCCGAATCATCTCTTCTTTCGTCGGATACTATTCGCGAGGCGTATTCGATGACGTGTTCACGGTCCTCCTTCCCCTTCTGGGCCAAAATAGCAGAGATTGCCTCAGGCTGCCAGTCTGGTAATAAGGATGAATTGCTTACCAGGATCGGGCCGAATCAAAATAGGCACGGAGGCGAGAGCCTCCTTGAAAGTAACAAAGGCATGTTCGCACTCTGCGTCCCATTTTTGTGGCTGGTCCTTCCATATGAGGTTTGTCAGAGGCCGAGCAATTGTCTCGAACGCCTTGATAAACCTGCAGTAGTACGAGGCCAACCCCAAAAACACTCGCACCTATGTCAGCGACGTAGGCGTGGGAGCTTCTCGAACCGCCTCGACTTTTCTCGAATCTGGCCTCAAGCCCCCTCGGGTCACCACGTACCCTAAGAACGAGATCTCTGAAAGGAAGAACTCGCTCTTCTCCAGTGCGATCTTGAACCCAGTATCTCGCAACACCCCCAGGGTCCATTCGATGTGCTGAGCGTGTTTGTGAAATGATTCCGAATATACCAGGATATCGTCCATGTACACAATAACACAAAAGTTGATCATTCCCTTGGTCAAATATGGTCTTGTTGACGAAGTTCTGAAATGTAACGTTCATTGCTCTCCGAAAGGTAGCCGGTGCATTGCATATTCCCATAGGGCAACGAACCCATTGCCAAGTGCCTTCGAACAATATAAACGCGTTTTTTTGTCGACCCTCCTCCTGAACCCTATGATGGAACCCGTGGCGAATATCAAACTTACTGAAATAATTAGCACACACAATCGCATCCAACAAATCATCAACCTGGGGAAGGGGATACACATCTTTGATCGTAATGTCATTCAATTTTCTATAATCAATGCATATGCAGATCGACCCGTTTTTCTTTGGAACTAGAACTACAGGAAATGACCATGATGGTCCGGTAGCTGGCTCAATCCAACCGTTAGCTTCAAATTCTTTGATTCGTTCCAACGTTGTCCTTCATCCAGCAATTGAGGATCGGTATGGCTTATAGTGGATTGGTGGGTGCGTTCCAGTTTGGATTTCATGTTGAATAATTAACGACAGTTCGATATTTGTTTCCTTGACGCTAATCGCTCCTTGATATTCGGTCAGGAGATCTGTAATTAGTCGATGGGTTTCGTCGGGCACGTACTTGGGCACGTGTAGTTATAAAGTTGCCTGTGTATGTTAACCATTACTTGTTTCATGCCCACTTTACTACCGTTCCCTGGTGGAGAAATAAATAAGTTGTCCAGTCGCTAGAAGAACACCGTGGCGACCATTTGGGCGTCTTCTTCCCGGATTGCCATGTGTTTTTGTGGTGTTACGCCGGCATTGATGTCCTACAAGCTTACGGGTTTCTCGACGATCTTGATCCCACGTTCGTAAGGGTTGCCGCGCCCAGGGGGTTCCAAAGCTCCGTCCTGAGCGCTCTGTCGCAGCAATCGGACCTCTTTCTTGTCACTATATCTTGAGAGAAGTGGGGTGGAGGCTTCGGATAGGGTCTGAGGGTGTTCCAAAGAATCGGCCATTCGAGATACTTGCACGAGTGGTTCCCCTAAGATTAGAGTTCGCATCCGTTGGAGGTTCCTTTCTGTAAGGACGAATGTTTTCGTTGTTTTCTGTCGAACGGGGTAGCGAGTCAGTTGGTGCGCCATGTCCCGGATCTCTGGGTTCGCTTCGTCCTCGCTATCAAAGGAGCCATTTTAGCTCTAGTTCCTTTCCTCTTTGGTTTGTTTATTTAAGGGGTCCCCTCCAGGTGATCACAAGGAGTGGTTCTCCGTTCACAGGGAGATTTTTCCGGGTCGTCGGGAGCGTAGTTCGGAGAGTTAGACGCATTGGGATGACGTACGGTTTCCCGCCCGTATTCCGAAGGAGGATTGACCGCCTTTCGAAATCGAGATTGGCTCTTAGTGCGGTAAGGGCAGGTAATCTCAAAAGAACATCGTATGTATTTACGTATAATACCACGACATCACCCAACGTGTGAACTTTTCCAAATTGAAACGCGACCTTTGTCATCCTTCCTATCACCTTGATCGTTTCCTCGTCGGCAGAGAGAAGGTGATCTCCTTCTGCTAACGGGATCAGATCCCTTCTTCTTCCCCCCCGTTCCACGAGCCTCAAGGAAATGGCTAGGACCGCGGCCCTTGAGTCGATAATAACATTGTACGGATTTCCCCAAACTTATATGTCACATTCCGCGAATTTTCATGGAATGGCCTTAATGCGCAGAAAATTATTGTCTTTTTGGATGAGTCCTAACCGTATCGGGTCCGAGGTGCTGGGGGCATTGGGCTTGTCTTTACAGGCGGGGGATTTCCCTTTGATAGCTGCTTGCTTAGCAAGAGCAAACCGTTTCCGGTTCGCCTTGCAATGCTGCAACATTCGTTCATTTGCCTGTTCTGATATGGACAATAGGTGTCCAATGGGCAAGGGGATTCGATGATCCATGGCTCGGACGATGTTCAAGGCATCAATTTCTCCCGTAACGAAGGCAGGGCCACCCGATTCCGTTTCTCTGAGGGACGGTCTCCATTCCGCTATTCCCCATTGCTTGTTCACTGGGCGGATGGTTTCGATCATTCCCAATCCTGGGTNACCCGATTCCGTTTCTCTGAGGGACGGTCTCCATTCCGCTATTCCCCATTGCTTGTTCACTGGGCGGATGGTTTCGATCATTCCCAATCCTGGGTAGCCCAACGAGATGTATTGATCAAGCGAGATAAGTTTCGCAGCTTCCTCGGTGGTAACTATCACACTCCCCCCCCCTTATGTCTCCTCGACCATCGTGCCCATTCTTCCTGGTCCGTTGGCCACTGGTGCTGCTGCCACGGGGGAGGCACCTACCCGGACTTGCGTCGGTTGGTTGGGGAAGTCCCAGGCTAGGTGGCCGGGTTGGTGACACGTGTAACAGACGCCTAGATTAGTTGTCGCACCGCCCATAGCCTGAGCGGGGGCTGCTGCTTGCGTTATGGGCGCAGCTCGGACGACAATAGGACACATCGATCTCATCAAGGATTCTATCCACGCATTATGCTCACGCTGCTCTTTCTTGCTTTCTTGCATCAGGCAAACTAGTGTTCGAGTTAACTCCAGTACGACGTTTGACTCACTGGGTTTCACGGGAGGATCTGGGGGAGGCGTAGGTGTGACCATCACAAGCAGTCTCGTGGTTGTGTCTGGTATCGATCTCTTAGCTACAACATGTTCTAGGTAAGTGACGGGGCCGGAGACGAAGGCCATGTTTTCAAATTTGTTTTGGAGCGCAGCTAATTCAGCCTTCGCCCTAACCAATTCCGAAGAGTCCCCTTCCTTGGCTTGGTCCTCCCCTTCTAAGAAGCTAGCGACAAACATTTTCTCAATTTCTTCTACAGCATCCATAATCTGTTGCATGGTGTGGTTGATTGGGGAGAACTGCTTTTGCAATTTCACCCTCATTGCACGACTCCGAAGCCCATCGATGAACAAATTTCTCCCGACCTCCTCGCCTCGTTCTGACTTAACAAACAACCTATAGAACCTATTGCGGTATTCAGTGACAGATTCGAGGGGCTTTTGGACTTGATCTTTAATCATGAAGAAGGCATGTTCGGGGAGAATGTAATCAAATCGGCTTAAGAACTCCCTTTCAAAGGTCGGGAGATCTACCCAGACGTAAGTGGTAAACCAATGGTGCACATCCCCTTCCAGCCTGGCGGGGATGTTGATCATGGCCTCGTCATTGTCGTATTGTTGTGCACGCAATGTGGCTAGCCATGCTCCGACCAAATGATGTGCGGGGTCAAAGAGATATAGATCAGGCGGGGTCGTTGGTGCGCATGCTCGAGGGGCTGGGGCCCCACCAGCATCTGGTGTCGGGTTGGCATTTGCGGTCTATCGACCTGCCGATCTACTTCAGGTTATTATAGGGTCGCGTCGTGGCGCGTTCCTCTGCCTAGGACGCCCTCAGTTCGCCAGATCGTCCCTTATATCCCATCTGACTGACAATCTCTGGGCCTGCCACGTGTCAACTCCGATACCAACCTCACGCCCACCGCGACTTCCTGATCGGAGTTGGAGTGGGTCTGGAAGTGCGAAAGGGGGTGTGCCAAGGATTTTAGGAAAGTGGGGGTGGAGTCCTAGGTCTGAACTGGGATCTCCAGTGATAAGTTTCAGGGATGCGAATGCAAGAGGGTAGGTGCGGATCGGAGTCCTCTTTTATGCTTCGGGGAGTGGGGCTACCGCTTCCGTTGGCTTCGTCATCTGGGTCGGACTCGTATCTGGTGGACCATCATGACGCCATGGCTATCTCGCTGGCTGATCACCTGCCGACACTGAACGTCACAGATCTCGGAGTCTAATGCTGTCGGCCTCAACAGAAGGTCGTGTGCCCATCGTTCCTCCTCCTGGCGGGTTCGTTGGATGAAGCCGGAGGCTCGATACTCGTGGTCCTGCAAACACTCCCCAGGATGATGATTCCGGGTTCCGTCACGACGTGACACGTATATGGGCTAGAGTAGCGGGGGAGATGGGGGATACGCCCGAAGGCCTGATCGAGTTCCCACTCGCAAATACATTCGTTCCCCGTCAGGTAGGGAAATTTCGGAGGTGCCGCACTGGGTCGTGCAACAAAACAGAAGTGTTCCCAGTATTCACGGAATTCCCAATCTCTTAAACACCCGCAGTCAATGACACGAAAAGGGGTTTTGAAATTCATACTATAGGATGAGCAGGCATTCAAACATCCGAGAAATTAGTCGGGTTCAGATTTCGCAGACACGCGTGTAGATAGCGACCATCTTGTTCGAGTCTACACGTGCGTGCACGGGACCTGTTCTTCGATCAGATGGGTGAAAGTCAGCGGTTTGCGAGGTGGATCGTCCTATAGTGAGATGGACATCGAATCGTCTAGCATGCATATCTAATTTATACACAGACAAAATCGCACCTAGCATCCATGCATCTCGCTTACATACAACAGGAGGAATCGAGGATCTTTATGCAACAATTCTTTGGTCAATCAGCCCCGAGATCACAAGGTTCGATCCTCGGTAACCAATCAATCAGATTTGCCGATTAAAAAAGACAGAGAAGGGGATTGGGGGAAGACATCCACACATCAATCTATGGGAGAAAACAAAGGAAAAATAAATAAATCCGAGATGCCGATCCAAAGAGGACAAGGGCAGCTTGCGCCGTATATCAAAATTATTTTGAAGAATAGGAGAAGAACAAAAATTACTTCAGGGGAGTAGAAGAAGAACCTTACCACACACCTCTCGTCTCTTTTTCTCTCTCTCTCTTGATCCGAGCATGCAAGTCAGGTTCGCCCGTGCGCCACAGTCCGTCGTGGCCCCACGTCAACCCCGCATGCCCAACACCAGCTCGTCGGATCGCCCATCTCTTCACTCACCTTCCAACTCTTGCTCGTTAGTCGATCCTCTCGACCGCGCTAACTCCCAAAATTCTTAGAGAGCGAGTTAATCTCGCTTGGGAAACTTATAGCATGTACGCTTGC